TATTTATTGAAGTGGGACTAGTGTTGCCTTTGTAACAGCAACTTTCTGGCAGTTTTCCTTTTTATGGAGTACTGAGAAAAGCAGATCCACGGCTTAAAGTTGAAAACATTCATAACCTACGCAGAAAAACAAAAATAAAGGCTGCTTCAAAAGAAATTTTGAAAAAAATGAGTGAGGTTTTTCTGCTTTTCTCGAGTTTCTGCCTATAAGCAAATGCAAAAACACATATTATAAGGATTCATGGTGTGTGTGTTTCTGTGCATGTGTTGTCTATGCGTGTATATTTTTTCATGTGCGCCTGTCCATGTATTTTTAACCCGACAACTAGGCAAGTTTCAGGACTGAAATGTTCCCGAACTTCCAGCTTTTTAACTTCTGTGATCTTCGAGTTAAAGTGAATGACAAAAAGTACGAACACACAGATACAAAGGCACACACACTCTTGCCAATATGTATTTTTGCATTTGCATAATATGCGAAAACACACAAAAATTATAATGAATAAAAAACTAATTTTGCGGGAAGTTTTTGTTGGCAGAAAAAGCGGCCTGTGCTTAACTGTTGACTGTACTAGAAATGGCCAGTGTTACAGAATGAATTTCCTGGTTCAGTGTTGGCGCAGTTTACTGCTGAAGTGTCGAGCAGTGATTGCCAACTAACATATGCAATATGGAATGGTACTAAGTATGTGAATGAGACAGAATTGTTCATGATTGAGCCGACGACAGGAGAACTAAAGGCGAAGGTGTCTTTCGACTGCGAAGAGCAAGACCGCCACGCTGTACGTGAATTTTGCATAGCCGTTAAATGTAGACGCCTACCGAAATTCCCCAAAACTGCTGAATATTTTGTAGACGGGCATCTCCGAAGAATTTTCGTCATTCATAAACCGTACATCGATTCTTTTTTGAGAGAGATTGTACGCACCGTACTGTAGCTAATCAGAAAACTTTTGTTCGGCCAAGACTCCTTTTTTTGAGGCGCACGCTCCGGAGCTAGACTTTGTTTATGATCACTAAATGGATTTTCAGCTCGTCATTGCTGCTATAAGCGGGGATTTATTCGTGCAGCTGGATGTGGAAGTTCGTGTCATCGATCAAAATGATAATCCGATTGAAGTTATCGATGACAACGTTCTATTCAGCATACGGGAAGATGAGGCTGCAGGTGAGTTGTTTGACTTTTTACGCTCACAAACCGTTCTGTCCTATTGTGACTATATCTGGACACAATCCTAAACAGTGATTCTAATGAAATTTCGTCGTAATGGCAAAGAGGCATGGGATAGAGCGCCTATCACTGTCTAGAGCAGTAAACATGGAAAGAGCAAAAAATAGCAGTGGTTGGTATGTTCTTCTAAATAGCTGGGTTTCACAGATGAAAATCTTCACAGTTTCTTGTTTTACTGTGGTTGTAGAACTGTATCACTGGTTCTTGCATCCAGATCCTTGTTTTGTGCTATCTCAAGCGAATACTTCTGCTTTGTATGAATGGAAAAAAAACAGAAATGTCTATGAAATGTTTAAAAATGCTTAAATATCTATGAAATATCTAGTTTTGATTTAAACATCCTTCACAGATTCCTTTTCTTTTTGGGCGCTGAAATCGAACTAGCTTTTCTCAAACGTTCCAGTGCTTAACGTTTACCGCGATTGAAAGATCCACTGGATGGTACTGCATAACAGATTGTTCCTTTCTATTTGGCTCTTTTTCAGTAAGCACTTTTTTCT